GGATAACTCTTAAGCAGATCAGTGCAAGCCGGAGACCGAAGGTTGAGGGTTGCACTTGCTCGAGAGGTGGCCCTAAATTTACTACTCTGTTCTTAGTTATACCTCCCGTTTTGTAAAGTACGAAAAACTTAAGAACTTAAGATTTTAAACTTTTAAAATAGAGAAGAATTTGTAAACACATTTATCATCAATTCATTTCAATATTTTACTGTATATAATCTACTTATATTTAAATAAACTATCACTGTATCACATTACTACCATATATGGTGTATCATATACATAATATTGTCACTAATACTGAAGATGACATCATAAGATGCTGAAACATGTTTATTTTGGAAAATTCCAATGTTTACCTTAGTTGTTTATCAATCAGTAAAAGACAACAAAATGTACGCTAATCTTACATGTTTTTTCATAAGATGCCCCAAACTTAGAACTACAAAAATCTGTGAACTGTTTAAAGCACAAGGATCTTTAAAATCATTATTAAAATAATTCTTCAGAATAGTGACCAGGGATATACCAAGCGGAAATCAAATTCATATTATAAATAATAAATCCCAAGGATAAGTGGAATTCACAAGAAAACTCCATATCTGTATACTTTGTGATTGTGTGTGTTTTTATTTCTTTCGTGATTTCCACTTATCCCATTTCATACCATCTTATCCCACTTTTACTTTGACCTTTTTCATCCCCCATATAATTTAATATTATGTAAATAGCTATTATATATATAAATCCCTTTATACTTGTAATTCAGCACTGTCTGATGATGTCTTGAGAACCAAGACGAAACGTTACGCTACTAAATAAATATTTCTTTTTATACGTCATTTTTGTATTGAATGGCTCTTTTAAAAGCACTTTGCTGAGCTTTAATATTTATAATAAGTAAAATGTTTATTGCTATGTTTACAATTGTCACAAATTGAAACTGTACATTTAACGTTGTATCACAGAATAGATATATACAGAAGCGCCACTCAGCGAAAAATCTGTCCCCTACTTGTACCCATTGATTTCTATAATAACTAGAGCGGCTAACTTTACTGGGGCGAGGATGCCAAAAAAATGGCGGCCAAAGGACGTATTTCCGCTGAAATGATCGCTTTGCAGAAAAATAATATTCTCGACCTCCCCCTGGTGTCTATAGTAAATTATAAAGAATTTTTCAAAAACAAACACGATATCACAGAATATGGATATCAATAGTTCCATATTCTGTGACGATTCTTTTTTGGCATTTCTTTTATAATGCCAACACTTCAATCGTTCAATTGTTGGATGTCTTAGTTTCCACAAAAAGGAACATATCGCTTCTCACAGGTGAGGTAGTTGTTTGTTTTGTTAGTCCGTCAACGATTGAAAAGCAATTATACATGCACTTGAAAAGCCATAAAATACATATTAAAGATCGTATTTTTTAAGACTGACTTGAACGCCAAATATACTGATGCTTTCCTGTTTTTGTTTATAAAATTCTGCATACTTTTCTGTCATTTGTTGATGCATGAAATCGTAAATTTACCCATCTATTTGCAAAATAGTTTCCCTAAAGCAAAAAAGACCCTGCACACATTTTGCTCTGTGAGTAAGTATCAAAAGAAATGATCAGCCCCAGTACCCATGATTTGGAGCAGAGCTTGTTATGTTCTATTTGCTGACAACATGCAGGGAAGATCAAGGAGTAAAGATGACTGGAAGATGTTATTGACCAGGCAGAGTCTTAAAAATGATAATGCTGTAAAGATAATTGATTTATTGTCTGCCCTATCCAGAGTTATTTAATTTGATCATGGTCAAATTCTATGGATGGAGACAATGGATTCACTAAGGATGCCTTGAATGCTTTGAAGTTAAAGTTCATGATCCAAAGAAAGATGGCAAGAAGGTTGTGTGTGTTTTGATGCTTAATGAAATGTCAATTCACAAACATGTAAAATGGAAGGCCATAAAGTTTGTGTCTATGTAAACATTTGTACTGAGATTGATGATGAGTTGATGCAGAGGTGAAGCTTCAAACTGTATAAGCCATTGGGTTTTATATAACTTAATGTTTAAATCATGTCATATCTTTATCAAAATATTTTAGTTGAGTGTTGTTTGAATGTTACTAATATCTAATGCACTATACTGAAGCATTAAAGATTCAGTGATGAAACTTTTAAAGTTACTGTACTGTATATTTCTTCATTATTACAGTTTTTGCTTCAAGAAACAGTTTGAGCTTATTTACCTATTAGAGTACAGAATGGAGATTTATCATATGCATTATTGCTACTTTTTTAAAGAAAAGTTTTTCACTTTTTAAAGCTTTTCTACAAATTTTTTGCTTCTTATTTCTTATCATGAGATTGATGATATAGAGGTAATATAATACAATATTATTTTAATTTCTAAAAAGCTTCTAAGCTTCTAGCATAAAAGTACACTATAGGTATGTAATTCATTTGGTTTTATTGCCTTGCTATGACATATCCACTTGCACTTCATCATTCTTGTATGAAGAAAACACCAAATGTGGATACTCAGAGAACAAAATGCACTAACAACTGCTTATGAAATTTATTATTGAGGTGAAAACTGTGTTAATCATTCAAATTATAGTGCACTTTTATTGCAAACATAGGAAAAACAAAACAAAAAGAAAAAGAAAGGTAGAAGTATTAAAACTACAAATGAATTATAAACACCATTGGAAGCATAAGTGTTTTGATGATTATTTGCATTTTGCCCAATTTATATATCAATACAACAAAATCAAAATGTGCTACAACTTCACAAGTATTTGATGCAGTTGCACTTCAGAACATCACAAAAAGATTACTTAAAATAATTTCTATACAATATTGTTTGTTTTCATTTACCAAACCTATGCAGACTTGAGTCTTTTTGAAATTTCATATGAAACTCAATTACAGAAAATCCGTAAATATCCAGAGATTTAATATATACTTTTTTAAAGAAACAAGTAAAAATCCTACAATTATGGCGAAAAAAGCCATTGCCCATTGCATGAAAAGTAGCCAAATAGCAATGATAACAAATACGCTAACTTCTCTCTCGTGAACCACTGTGGAGATGAACTATGATATACTTTTTTGTATAGAGTAAAGAGTTTAATCGATCAAACAAGTTTGACGCTGGTAAGAAAACGACGCACATCTGCATTCATACATGTGTAGCCGACATATAGGTCTTTCGTCGATAGTTATAAATGCATCCTCGTAGGAGCAGATAACTGACAACCATAGTTGACTCGCTGTTACGAATTGCAGGTTTTTATCGTGATTTTCATCGAAAAAATGCTTGCCGAATCCCAAATACTACACACATACATTTTCCTCACTCTTTCCTCAGGAGGGAGTGGGAAATTGTGAAATTTTCGGAAAAGCGGTCAATTTCGGTAAATCTCAGCGGCAACGGACGAAATCCGCCATTTTTTTGGCATCATCAGATATCTAAGGCCGCGCTTGAGATAGCCGCTCCAGTTATTATAGAGCTCAATGCTTGTACCCAGCTCTTAAGTGCGCATCTTTTGCGTCCGCCATTACTCCAGCCAGATAAACTGGCCAGAATGTATATAGATTAATATTATGAAGAGTTGTTTTTCGAAAATTTGACGAATTTAAATTCACTTATGGACAAAATTTTTAATGCCATCGGATAGGATACCAAGCATATTCGGTGAGAGACAGTTTTGTTGTAAAATACGTTCGTCAAATATAATTTTACGGGTTTTATAGTTTCTTGCCTTGAATTATATGCGAGATCCATGTTTAGAAAGTCTCTTATATTGAACGGCAGTTGCCCTAAGAATTTATAATTTAGGACAAAAGTAATAAATATGTTTAGTGTGATTCCATTTCTGTATTTTCTAGTAAAGAGTTCCCTATTAGAATGGTCAACGGATTTGATAGAAGCGATAAAAGACCTACTGTGCGTAAAGAACGTTCTTCAGATGAAGACGTTATTAGTATAAAATTTGGACTAAACTAATTTATATTTGATTCTTGAATCGGGGCTTTTTATTTGCAATGTAGCTTGTCTGCATAATTGTAATTGAAAGTTTTTATATGTAATTGTATATTGAGTTCCTGTGGCTATCTGTCTGTCAAATTTGTATTAACTTACAAATAAAGATGTTTTTTGTTGTCTTATTTTTAATAAACAATATATGAAATTACAATTTTTTAAAGAATGAAGTTATTGATAAATTGTTACAATTAAATTAACAACTTTACCATTATGTTAAACATATTGTCAAGCTCCTACAGCTTACCTCTTTGGCTCTTTGGTTAAACTTCACTTGTGAGTTGTGACCAACAATTGTATGTGAAAAATGATTAGAATTATGTTTGAATCACCGCATTGATCAACCAGCAGAGAGAAATTATTGCAACAAAGGGCTCGAAAATTTAATTTTTGCTAAAATCCATAAACTTCATTCAGGAAATTAAAATTTTTATTGTAAGTAATCATGTCACAAACAGAACTTATTCTGACAAAAACCAGTTATAGTTACTCTTAATGCCATTATTTATATTGTAATACTTTACACAGTAAAATGTTTACCAAAAGGTGAAACACAGATACACCAGAAAGCATTTGACAGGGGGGAAACTGTGCCAAGCCAACACCAATCCAATTCACAAAAGCATTCAGGAAGCTTTTTTATGTTCACTTCTCACATCATCAATAAGCATCCATGTCAAATATATAAATAATCTCCTGATTGAATTTAAAAAGGCAGAAATAACAAAGTCAAGTCATGTCGACCATATGGCAGTATATGTTTTACAAATTGCTATTCAAGCACTTTATTGGTGGAGGCCAACATGCTGCTGCTTAAGGCCAATTTCCATTACAATCGCTTTGCCCGCGCGGTCCTAGCGGGCGTGATCACAAATTGCACGCGCGTACACAATGCAATTTCCATTGATTGGTCTTGGCGGCTTCGCGCGTTCGTTTAAAAATCACTTTTTTCCAAGATGGCGGCTTTAAATAGGAGACTACTTATTTTGATTTCATTAAGGCGACGGTTGCAAAGAAGGAAAAATAGAAAGCGTTTTTGGATAAGGAATATATACTTAAATAGAAAAGCAAAAGGGGAATATCATACTTTGGTACGTGAGGCAATGTTATTCGACCACGAGTTTTTCTTTCAAATGTTTCGAATGATACCAAGTAAGTTTGAAGAGCTACTTGGCTTATTTGCACCAAGAATCACACGTTGGAAAGCCCGGCAAGAAGCCATTGGGCCAGAAGAAAGACTTGCAGTAACATTGAGGTACTTAGTTACTGGTGATGCATTCATTTCTATTGCAGCAAGTTTTCGATTAAGTGCTGCCACTGTTGGGCGGGTTGTCAAAGAAACATGTCAAGTATTATGGGAAGTACTTTGTGCTAAAAAGTATTTGAATGTTCCTCAAACACCTAATGGATGGATTGAGCTGGCTCGTGGCTTTGAAGTTAGATGGAACTTTCCAAATTGCGTGGGTGCAATTGATGGGAAACATGTTACCATACAATGCCCCCCAAGAGGAGGTTCCATGTTTTTCAACTACAAAAAATTTCACAGTGTTGTCTTGATGGCAGTAGTCAATTCAAAATATGAGTTTATTATGGTTGACATTGGCGATTACGGAAGGCTTAGTGATGGAAGTGTATTTGCCAGCAGCAACCTTGGCATTGCAATGGAGAACAACATGTTGAATTTACCACCTGAACGAACACTGCCAGGCACAAACAAACATTTTCCATACGTTTTTGTGGGAGATGATGCATTCCCATTACGAACATATATGGTTAAACCCTATCCGAGAGGTGTCATTCAATTACCTGAAAAAATTGCGAATTATCGTTTTTCAAGAGCTAGACGAATTGTTGAGAATGCTTTTGGAATAGCAACATCAAGATTCAGATTGTTTAGATGTGCAATTACTGCAAGTGTTGAGGTTGCTGTTGAAGCTACAAAGGCTATCACTGTACTACACAACTTTTTGATGGCTGGTAGACATTCTGAGATTAATAACTCATACTGTCCACATGATTATATTGATGTTGAATGCGAAGGCCATGTGAGAGAAGGGCTTTGGAGGAGGCAAGGGAACAACTGCCCTGGTCTTCAGGATGTCACGAACTTGGGATCCAATAATTATTCAGTTAATGCAAAAAATGTTCGCGATAATTTTCGAGATTATTTTAATTCGAATGCTGGATATGTTCCATGGCAACAGGCAGCTGTTACAAGCACATCTGACAGTTTCAACATAAATTATTGAGTTTGACCACCAACGTTTGATGCAAGTCTACAGACAATATTAAACTTATTATCTGTGTGGGTCTACTAATTTCAATAAAGGTCATAACAGAACATTATTTCATTATTTATATGTTTATATATTTTCATCAAATCAAAATGTTTATAATAAGTAGACTGAAATTTTCCTAGATTAAGGTTTAAAATAAAAAATGGAGGAAATATGTTAACTTCTTTTCTTTTATGTAATTTTTACAACAAAAAAATGACACACATAATACATTGGTCATATTTTTTCTGAACATAACCATCAGCTTTTGTAAATTCAAATTTCATTCTACTCATTCTCATCAAATTCATATTTCATTAACACTTGTTGTATTTCTACCCTGGCCATCCTATTTTTCTTGGGTGGTAGTTTCTCCAATATTTCAACAATACTGTTGCAGAACAAATGATTGCTACTTCTCCAGTCTTGTGTTTGTTGTTTCTGTTCATCTGACTGAGATAATGCATTGACAAGAAGCAAGTCTATTTTATCTTGACGGTCAGATCTCTTTGTTGTACGCTTTGGTGTTTGGTTGGTCAGTATATCTGGACCAGCATGAGCTTTCTTTTTGTTACAACGAGTTTTATAAGTCGACATATCAGGTGTTGATCCCGAAGCAAGTAGTGGAGGTGAAGGTGCAAAGCTGTCATCACTTATACTTCCAGAATCAGTATTAATAATTTCATTAGATAGAGTAATATTGCTAGTTGTTTCTCGATTAGAAACAAAGTCTTTAAGGAAAAGTAGATTCTCAAACAGCTTGCATGATGGTGTTTTAGAAGCACCTGCCCCTGATTTTTCAGCATCTTTTATTTTCTTCAGACATCTCATCATACCATCTCGTAAGTTCTTCCATCTGCGCTTCAAAATATCAGCTAAAAGTAAGGAGTGCATTTGTATTTATTAACTCCTGGCTTTTTAGTCATTTTATACCAGCTGGTAATATTATGCAAAATCAACAAACATAAACTCAAACTTTTAACACAGAAGTTAATGCATGCTTCATGTAATTACTGAAAGACGCCAAGTACTCAAAAACCTATTCACAAGTTTGTGAAACATATCTTGTGGAGTGTTAAATCATTAATCTGCATCTACATTTAGTTATTTACCAATTATGAAGGATTAACAAAGTCATACACACCATTCCTGTTTAATTTGAGAGATATTTCTTTCCAGGCTTGGTTCTTTTTTACTGTGTCTTTATACCCTCTTGATGATGTGTCCCACAGTATTCGGTATCTGTGAACTTCTTCCACCAAATGCTCGTCTAGTTGTTCATCATCGTCCTTTTCTTCCAAATCAAGCTGTTGGGATTCCAGCAAATTTTGTGCTTCCAGTGGTGGAAGACTTGGAGCTATGGTTTGCCCTTGTTCCATTGATACGGGTCGCCTCCACATACCTGATGTACTAGCGACTTGCATGTTTATAAAAGATGAATTGTTAAACTCCGCCATGTTTATCATACATTGCATTGATTGCTTTTGTAGTATGCGGTGTGATTGGTTAATACCAATCACGTGTATCTTTGGACGCGCGACTTCGCCAAGAAAGTAAAAAATTTTTAACTTTCAAAGCGTGCACGCCAGTGTTCAGGCGAAGACGCGCGCTGTCGACAATATTCACACAGCGCATGCTCAAAAATGTTCGCTTCGCCCGCGCGGGCAAAGCGATTGTAATGGAAATTGGCCTTTATGCTCCAACTTGCTCAAAAAGTCATTCAAGCTTCACAAGTCACAACTGTGATGAATACAAAATATTTTGGCATCAGATGACTTTCATAGTGGCCATGCAGCATCGCTTCTGATAGTTTAAAACACCTGGGTAGACAATTTTGGTGATTCGAATGTCATGCAAAACGTTGGCATGGCCGCCATGTATAGTTGCCCGGATGCTGGGGACACGAACATCAAAGGTTCCGACATCGAGTGGCGCTTCTGTATATATCTATTCTGTGGTTGTATCAACCCCAACATCATGATGATAAATTTTATTTTAACTATTGAAGACAGAAAGTGAGAATTAATAATCTTTAACATTTTAATCAAGAAAATATTATCCAAAAAAATTTAATTTCTCAATTCAAATGAACTTATGTCAAAAACGTAAAAGTTTTATTAATTTTCATCACAGTTATTGACATGACGTCATGATGTTCTTACATACGGGAATTGTTGACAGTATATAACATTTTCTGTCTTTAAGGTCATTTTGTACATAATAAAGAAACAAAAATGATATCTCACATTTTTCAACTAATGACCATAAAACTCGACAGCTATGATCTATAACAGGACAGACACACGGAATTGAGCTCACAGAAAATTCTTTGTTTTTAAATGACAAACGAACGGAGAATTTATTTGAATATTTACCTGAATATATTCCTGAATGGGCAAATAAAGAAATTAAGAATGCCCAGTTGAAGCATTGGACGCATTTGAGCAAAAAGAAAAGAAAAAACCCGGTTTTCAAACATTGATTTCCCGGCGGCTCGTGGCCACTCTGTTTTTATCACAATGACGTCATACCCGTGTATCTATAACTGTATAGACAACGGTTAAATGTTATCTATTTGTTAAATAAAAATAACCAAATTATCTAACCATACATTTTTATTAAAAAGTAAATCATCAACATGAAATTTGTTCAGAAATACAATACATAATAATAAGTTTGACAGAGCATCTTACAGTAGTAGTCTAATCTAAAGGATGCCCTGTTTAAATGACAATTCATTTATGAAGATTACAAGTAGAATCTTAGAAAGGAATAAACAAATATTCATGATCAATTAGTATAGAAGCGTTCTTTTCAAATACAAGTCATTTGTGTAATAAAAAGCAATTATAAATCGCTTCAGATTATTGCAAAACATAGATAATATTTTACATTCTTTAATAGCAGGAGGTAAGACATTCCAAGAAATAGTACCGATAAATTTAAAAGATCTTTTGCAAAATTGGTCCAAATTTATTTTTGGTAAATATAGATAATTTCTTAAAGATTGCCTGGTAGAATAAGTATACTTCTTCTGTAGAAAACTATAGTAGGTGGAAACAAGCAACCATCCTTACGACCATCAACGTCTATGTGCAATTGTCTCAACAGCTTTTTGAATTTACTATTAAAGTTTGAGTTGATGTATTTATTCAGGAACATTAAGTTTTAAAAATTGAATACTGTAAATTGAATTGCGAACTATAGCTAAAGTTCCTGTGTTGGAATGCATAGTTATATTAGACAGTGAAGTTATAAATTTAGCGCATACTTCACTACTCTTTAAATCTACAGCAACCAATGACCCATGAAGCCCTACAATGCAATAAGATTTGTATGCGATTAGGTTGGAGTACACATAACATTTCCTGACATTATACAAAAACGTATTCACAACACCATTCTCGTGAAAAGTAATTACATAAAAGTCCACCATATAATCCAGGTCGAAGCAGTCTTTGACTGCTATGGCTGCTTGTTTACTATCACTTATACAGCACTTGAACTCTAGATCATTTACAGTTCTCTGTTGAGATACAAATCGTTCAATGTTAGCTGTTATGGGTAATTTTGCAGGACGCCAAGGTTTCAAGTAAAGTTTATTGTTGTTACTTCTCCATTCCCATAATGTGCATTCTGTTTTGTTTACAGTTAAAATAAGAGAATTATCAGGTGATACAGCTGCTGCTTTAAATTTTGAACTATCGACAGGAAGTCTTTTGTTGTATTGTATCTCACCCTTGGTAATTCTAACAACTTGAACAAACTTTTCTTCGTCAATACAAACTAAGACATCACCAAATGTTAAGATTTCTTTAGGTTTAAATCCAATGTTGACATGCTTTGCTTGAGTAGAATTTAAAAAATTTTCAGATGAAGTTGATATCTTCATAAGATGATCTGAACCATCCCATATCCACAGTAAACCATCCGAGCACCAACATCCTAATGCATCCTTCAGTTGCATTGGTACAGTTTGAATAATAGTGCAACGTTCAATGCTCCAAATATGAATGTTGACGTGGTCACCAACAGCAAAAGCAGCAAAAAAAGATCCATCCGGTGAAAAACAACAACATTTAATTTCAAATTTCTCAAAGATAAGTGAAGGTTTTGAAAGATGATCAGTTTTGAAAATTTTAAGCTTGGATAAATACGTCACAACGTAAAATTCTCTAAACGAGATGGGATGGACTTTTTTATGATTCGTATCAGGACATGAACACCTAACTTGTGGTAAACAAAACTCGATTTCTCCTTGATCGTTGTATTTTGTCAAATGAGTGATTTCAGAAAGCTTTACATTCTGGTTTGTATGATAAAAAATGCAATGACGATAATGGTGTGTTGTCACTAAATGTAAACGTTGTAAATGTATATATTTTCTTGAAAAAATATCGATTGCCTTTGGGAATTGAAAAACATACGAAGTCTCGGCGATTTCTGAATTAAAGAACTCTGAATATTTATCGGTACACTGTAGTTCTTGGTAATCAACAACGCAGCGTCGATCAATTCTTTGCAATGTTAATGAACTCCATGCAGTGAACACATCTACAGGTTTTTTGAAAGCATTATAATCTTTTACATATTCTGCTGTAATAAACAAACCAGAATCTAAGAAAGAGCAACGATTAACGACATCATCTGACTGTAAACATGATAACAAACGTCCATTGCTAACGTCCCACAACTTTATTTTAGTAGATACATCACTAGTTACCAGTCTATTTCCGGTAGGTGAAAAGGAGCAACAACTGATGTTTCCACGTACAAAACGAAGTGATGGAATGGGATAGATGTTATGCTGGGTTATAAATGTGTCTACATAATCCCACTTTTCCAACATTGAATCATCGAGCGCAGTGCCTAGAGTGCATCTTTCTGTAAATTCTGGAAGTTCAAAAATAGATATTTGACCATTTTCATATCCTACAGCAAGAAGTTCTTCATTGGACGACACACAAAGAGATGTAACGTTAGCACCCAAGGAGACAGTCAAATGATGATGGTTTGTCAAATATGTTGAGTCTAAGTCCTCAAACCAAACAAACTTTCCTTGTTTCAATAAATCCCTTGCCAATAATCTTTTTTCGTTACTGCCATGAATTCTGTTGGCAATAAGTTGTAAATAAAGTAAGCTTTCATCAAAGTCATGCCTCGCATATTGCCGTGTCGTAAGCAAATAAATTAGGGCTTCCTCAAGTACATATTTTTTCAAGAAAGTACGTCGTTCGTTAATGACTTCAATTAATTCTGATCTAATGGTATAAATTTTAATGTCTTCCACACCTATTAACCTCGCACAAACCACTTTGATATCTACTGCCCAGCTAAAGTCAACATTTTCGCCACATTTTGACATATGATAGATTCCATTCTTTAAAGCATATTTAATCATAGCAGTGTTCATCTGAACTTTAAAAATGTTCATCGACTTGATGTGTTTAAACACTTTCTCACAAGCATACCATAAGAAGTTATGACCATTTTTTGGATTAACTGTAAACTCATGCTGTTCGTAACCATCTGATTTCAACCAATCAATGAGAGATTTGTGATACACGGTTAAACAATTGTTGTAAACTGGCAAAATTTGAGATAACGGTTCAATGATTTTACTGCGGACTTCAAACTTGATGTCACCAGAAAAACCTAAATAGCTAAACAGTAAAGTTATTGGTAAAAACTCCCGACAGGCAGCCAACAATTCAAGAAATTGCATGAAAGTAGTTTCTGAGATAACAGAATTTACGGGACTTTCTTTCGCTAAATCTTTTACTCTTTTAAATTGCTTTGTGTAAACACCGCTTAAACCACTAGGGACCAATTGATCAATTTTCTCGCCTGTAAGCTCAATATTTTCTTTCTTTAAGCTCAGTTGTGCGTGATACGCATAAAGAAATGATCCTTCACATTTTTCAACTAATGACGATGGAACGTGGCGATATCTCTGCACACGATTGTTCAACTGATGTTCCAAATACTTTTCCAGGTCTTTTTCGTTGTTTTTATCACGAGGAGAAGTTGTAATTTCCACAGGATTCATGTCTTTCAACTCCTTTTGAACAGGAAGTTCTGGACGACTGGTGATGAAGATTTTATCCATTTAGGCAGTCGGCCAAATTCATCAGTAATCAATTCCAACAATTCACTTTTGCCCTCAACTTGACTTTCATCTAAGGCATCAATAACCAAAAGCATTGGTTCATGACCTTCCAATGAATGCAATGGATTATTTAATAAAACAAGGAATTTATCGGTGATCGATTCTTTGGAATTATTTCTCTGTAATTCTTCATTCAGTTTACTTTTAAAATTTGATATTGTATCACACATGCTACTGGCCAATGATTCTATCAATTTTCGAGGATCTCTATAATCTGATCTATTATATCTGCAGAAATGATAAGCAGCAAGTTTCTTCTTTTCAGAATATCGTCGACACAACTCAGCAGCAAACACACTTTTACCAACGCCGGGACCAGCAATTAAAATCATGACATTAGAAGCATTTTCCCTTCTATCGTTAAACCAAGTGTCGAGTTTTTCAAATAACCATTGTCTTGTGCCTTCAAGGTATTTCTTGTTAAGATCTTCTAAAAGACCTTTGAAATTACACTTCGCAAGATTGGAACATGTTTTTCCAAGTAACATTTCTCTTAATTCTATTAAATTGAATTTGGTTGCCAACTCTTGTTTCATTTCTGCTACATCAGCTTTTGTTGACATGCTTTCTTTAATTTTCTCCACTTCATTTTTCATTTCATTAACATTTTTTTTGTTTTCTGCAACATCTTTTCTCAATCCTTCCACATCTTCTGCATTACACCAGTTTTTCAATATATCAATATATTTTACTTCATCAGTACTGAGAGGAGATTTCTTTAATTCATCTATTTCAGTTTGTTGAATACCCAGACCAACCAATGCCTTTGAAATTTCTTGCCACAAGTACTCAAACTCACTGTCATCTACACTAGTTGTTGTTATGTGACCATACACTTTGTTTCGATAAAACTTTATTCTTGCAATATTTGCTGAGATTGAAGAGTCTGAAGAGGAAGGAAGATTATCCCATCCACCATGTGGCGCTGTTAGACCACATATGTTACGTAATAAGACAGTCAATAATGAAATATCACAGTTTTCAAGGTTTGGCAAATCAGTTGATGGGTAAAGAAGGTTCCATTGCTCTTTGTTGATGACGTTTCTTTTTCTTAATGATTCCAATGTACTTTTATTTGAGGGTTTATTAAGTTCATCGCTTAGGTTTGACGAACGAAAATTTATATTAAACTGCAATGTTGTTTTCAAAGCTTGTGTTCCTTTATTTATCAAGAGTTTACTTAAACGAGATCCGTTTGCCTCAATCTTTAATTTATTAGGAGGTAAGTCCATTTTTCAAACTAAAAATGAAGAATGAGTTTTTGCAAAAAGCATCAATATACAATGTGCAAAATTAACACAACATGGAAGGGATTAATAAAAAACAATATTACAAGAAATTTTATAAATAGTCCTTCTCTTTTATATCTTTCGTATAAAAAATTAAAATAAATACGATGTCATCAACAATTTATTTTTCGAAATAATCTTGTTATGACAAACATGATATTTCTTCAATCACTTCAACCTACACACTTGTTTTACTTATTTAAAACTTAGCAAAAACTAATTAGCAGCAATTTTAAAAAACACTTGAGAAAAACGACGATTTTTTTGAAAGCAAACATGTTTCGACATTATCAGAATGCCATCTTCAGTGCAGAATGGTTAGTGTTAAGTAATATGATACGTAATATGATATGAATAAATTAATTACAATGAATAGGATATGATTTAAATTAAATGAGATATGATCTTCGCACTTAGCTGGACAATTTAAGCAATCGTCTCAGGACCTGAAAAAATCAGGTGACTCAACGGGATTCGAACCCATGACCTCTGCGGTGCCGGTGCAGTGCTCTGACCACTGAGCTATGAAGTCACACAGTGGTGAGCAGGTCAATATTGTTGGGCTCATGGGTTCGAATCCCGTTGAGTCACCTGATTTTTTCAGGTCCTGAGACGATTGCTTAAATTGTCCAGCTAAGTGCGAAGATCATATCTCATTAAATTTCAAACACCGCACTGCATAAAACATTCATAGGATATGATAAAATTATAAAATATTTACAAAAAAGGAAAAGAAAAATAAGTATTAAGAACTTATAACAAAAAATATTATTATAAAGTAAATATAGTGTTGTAGTGGTGAACTTGGATATTTAAATCGGGATTAGTTTATTAATGTGTAGAGCTTCCTTGATTTTGAGTGAGAAAGTGGATTGATCAGTGTCGATGATTTTAAAACAGGAAGGTGAGAATTTGTTTTTACATGAAGGAGAGGCTTGAAGATGTTTGTAGATAGTGGAGTTTTTGTCTGTGTGAGTATGTTTCTTTATCCTGGTAGATAATTGGCGAGAAGTTTCAGCAATATAGCGGGAATTACGGGATGTAATTCATGTAAAACAAATTCTCACCTTCCTGTTTTAAAATCATCGACACTGATTAATCCACTTTCTCACTCAAAATCAAGGAAGCTCTACACATTAATAAAACTAATCCCGATTTAAATATCCAAGTTCACCACTACAACACTATATTTACTTTATAATAATATTTTTTGTTATAAGTTCTTAATACTTATTTTTCTTTTCCTTTTTTGTAAATATTTTATAATTTTGTAACTAAATCATATCCTATTCATTGTAATTAATTTATTCATATCATATTACGTATCATATTACTTAACACTAACCATTCTGCACTGAAGATGGCATTCTGAAAATGTCGAAACATGTTTGCTTTCAAAAAAATCGTCGTTTTTCTCAAGTGTTTTTTAGCAAAAACTACTAAAAATATTCTGGAACTGTATTTAAGGATTGTGACGTTTTTCAATCATTTTTTCACAGTATTATTTTAAGACTATTTGTGGTTGTTACCAGTGGCGTAGCAAAGAAAAATAGTAACTCCCGCCACCATCTCGTGCTAAAGGCGCGACCCCCACTATGCTCCCCTGGAAAATTTTGAGCTCCATAGCTTTGGGAACAGCATTTCCTGTAATTTGGAGGGCGAATTATTTGCTGCACAATAAGTTATAAAAACACGTTTTTATTAGCTGCATTCTTAATGTGGCAATTGTCGAAACTGCAACCCATTGAAAAGGTACTAATGGTCGTACTAAAAGGTACTAAAGAAACGTTACGCAAGAGGCAATTGTCCCCTAAAACATAATGAATCAAACTCATCACTGCCCCTGAATAAACAGAAGAAATTTGGATTAGCACAAAAATAACATAGTAAACGATACTTCCTAAAATGCATAGGGAGAGATTGTTCTTAGCATTTTACTTGTTAGTTTACACTTGTTTAGATTGGGGCAGGTAGACAGGAATGGCTTTATTCTTTAGAGTTATGCTTAATTTTCTCAGTGAAGTACCATGTATTATAAGAACTAATATCAAAACACATACTATACCCATCATTTATAAAGAAAGGCCAGCTTCCTGGGTGTTTCTACAAATTTTTCAACCACTTTATTATGCAACACCTCTGAATCCTCTTTTTGTTCAACGATATCTTTGTGAATAGACATTCTACACAAAGAGCTAAGCCGACCTTAACCCATTCTATTCCTCAAATAGCTTTTCACTCTTTTCAAGCAAGAAAACAACCTCTCTACTGAAGCACTAGCCACTGCATGGACACCATTCAATTTTAACAAATTTACCACTTGACGTTAACTCGACTGGAGATTAAATTTGTGTATGTATTTAAGCACCTCATTACTGCACTCTTTCTGAAAGTCCTTGTCGTTGTAAATGAAGGAAAGTTGACTCTCAAAAGTTGGGATGTCAGAAAGAGGACTATATTTATCCTTAAGAAGATTGAAATTATCCCGTGGAACTATGCCCTTTCATGGGGAAAATAGTATAGGATTTACAAGACCTAAAAACTCGAAATGGTTCACTTAACATGCCTTTAATGGAATCAATAATCTCAAAATAAAGCTGTTTGTAATTGTATCTACTATCTGCTCTGTTTGCTGGTGGGCCTACTTTTTCTAGTGCAGATTGATAAAACTCGGTGAAAGCTTGATCTGTGCGAAGTGATACAATAAACAGCTTGAAATTGTCAATCTTGCTTATGCCATAATTAAAATGGGTTTCTCAATTTTGAATTATGGAATACAAAATTGTGGACTGTTCTAAAATCCTGTTTAGAACACACAATAGAAAAAAAGAGAAAGCATTAAAATAATGCTGTAAGCCACTTATTTTACTCAATGACTCATCATCCCACCCAGCTGGTTGTTCAAGAACCCCCTCAAAAATATTTAGAAATTTTTCATAGTTTTTGTACAATACATTGATTAATCTAGAGCGATAATAATATCTTGTTTCACCAGGGGCTAGAAACTCAAGCTTGTTTGATGTGAGAAAAGCTTTTCTCTTTGGGGCATTGCTTGTAAATGTGCTAAATGTACTTATGTTAATGTAAAAGATTTTAATAGGAGAAATTGATGAGGCTGACTGACATAGGACCAGGTTCAATCTATGAGCTGCACAATGAACAAAGTGGCCAAAAGGATACTCTTGTCGAACCAATGCTTGAACAGCATTGATATGGCCAGACATGACATATGTTTGCAAAACCAGTTTTTCTTTAATATCAGAATACTAACCAAATTTATCTTTGACAACTTGTGATATTGTTGTGGCATTTCTGTTCATATTTGCATCCACAAATCCTAATTGCCTCTCAATAATTTACTTGATTTGTCAAACCGAGCAATAACACTTAACTGCTCTTTGGTGGAAACATCAGATGCTTCATCAACCTGTATACTCATAAATGTGCAATCATTTATTTCCTTTCTAATAAGATCATTTTGAAATTCTGGGGAGACTCCATTAAATCTTCTGTCACTAACTATATCAGCTTCTGCTAGTCTACTGTGCATTCGACGCTCAAAGGCAGAATCAAATAAGCAAAATATTCGAGCAACTCTCTATGCTTAACTTTGTTCAAGCTACCTTCGGACTTATCGTGACCTCTAAATGGCAACTCTTGCTTTGAAAAATGCTGCACTTTCTCAGTAACAGTTTTTAAAATTTCTCGATTTTGTCTTAACTTGTCATTGTGACGCTTAATCTCGCTTCTTCTCGCAAAAGACATAAGACAATCAATTCGTTCACTAGCTACATACGTTTTCCATGTCTTTAAAGCAGTCAAATGCGATTTAGATTTTCTCATGTTTCTTAGCATCAGACATAATACTTCGCATATCGTTGTAGCCATTCTTAGTCCATGATGGCGATGTTTTCCGGGAAAACATTAGACATGGCCAACGAAACACTTTCTCTAAGGTTGTACAGTCACACAGCCAGTCCTTCGCCTCTTCTCTAAAATGCTCGTCCCTTATTTTGGATTGTTAAATCAGGAGTAGGCCTTTCGTGAACGATAACATTCTGTTCGACCGACGATCGAGCAGAGAACGGTTTAGGTAATTAGCTATTTCCTATATTAACATCAGTTGAACAAATCGCAGTTGCACTTAAAACCATTGTGTCATACACAAATACAAAGTAGCATTTTCAGAGTAAGGACAATAGAAAATTAATACCGACAATGATCTCTTAATTTGATAATTACTAACCACTGTACTCGTATATTAGAAGGTTGAATAATTACAACCTCCGCCAATTTAAAATAGCGGGAGTTCGACTATAAAAACAGCAGATTTGAGTATGCGCCTAGTACCTTAGCCAACCAGAATTCAAAACTTCTCATATAGAATTGTATTGTATGTTCTGCCCTCTGAAGATAGGCGGAATACGTGGAGAAATCGCGAGAGTATGCATTGAAATGGGTGAGGAAAGGCGGGTGGTAGGTTGCAATACAAATATTGTGATTTTTTGGAATTACGATTACGAACCACCAAATAAAAGCGTGAAAATGAACGAATAAAACATAATATTACAAATTGTTTGTGAAATAATGTGTATCTAATCTCTAAATAGAATATTTATTATTTTTTTGAGAAATTTCTACTCCTGCAGGGCGGGAGTAGCGGGACCGCTAGCTACGCCACTGGCTGTTACGACCGACGATTTTCCGACAAATGTATCTAATGTATGTTTGACATTTGAACTGTAAATGTTTTAAACAACGTAAATAGTTATTTCTTGTGTCTATTGATCATGGTTTCATAAAGAATCATTTATTTTTAAATATATATGAGATATTAATTTATTTAAAGAAACTCAAAAATATCATTGTTTTGCTTTCTCCAAAGATTCACCTGAGTAAACCAAGCCATTTGTCAAATACTTTGATTTTCCTTATTTTAACTATTGTTAAT